CCCCACTCCCCTCCACCCTCCCCTCTACTTCCTTTCCACCCACTCCCCACTCCCCTCCACCCTCCCCTCTACTCCATTTCCACCCACTCCACTCCCGTTCACCCTTCCCTCGCCTCCCATCCGCCACGTTTTCCTGAGATTTTTTTTTACGCGAGGCTCCAAAAGTTAAATGTGTCCTAATTGACCCAACGTCCCCAGTTTGTTTTTACAGAAATAAATGTTTTTTACACGTTTATCTGTGCAAGTTTCCTTGAACTTAAGGGGGATATAGTTATTCAAATAATATTTTTTCCTGATTCTCGCGGTAGTAAGTAAATTCCTTGTCGAAGTGCACAAAAGGGAATAGTAGCCAAAACTGTAGCTGATTTGATTTTTCAAATAGTTTTGATTAAATGCGAGGGAATCTTTTCTTATACATTCTCGCCAAACTCTCGTTTATTCATAGCTTAACTTGTATATGAGTTAAGGTAGACATTCCATATCTCAAGAAAATCTGTATTGATCTTTTTTCTCCCAATAGTTCATCCCGAACAGTTTTTAACTGTTTTGGCGTTAAATAAATGAGCTAAAAAACATTGAGAACATTCTAAACCTAACCTGTTGGCCATAATGGCAGCAGAGTTTGATAACGTTGAAAGTTTCATACAGGTTCTTTTAACTTCAGTTGCAGTCACCGAAAGGGTCAGAGTTAAAGAAGAACATCTTGAAATGATGACAATTCTTGTCCAAAAGGTGTATTCGAATTTGAATTCGGCTAATAGTATTTCGTATGGAACAGTATATTGGTCAACAGTGTTTTCTGTTGGCCACTAAAACGCTCGTGACGGTTAAACATAAAAACCAACCTGATTACGTCATTAGGGAGAAAAGTTTATCAAATATTGGCCGTCTCATAGACATTTGCATTATAGGATTTGTCACAAACTCTAATTAAATATTCATAAAACGAAAAAAGTATCATCTGATCCAGAGAAAATATTTCTTACCAGCTTCTGGTTTTTCACCTATCTGTTTTGTTTTTTTATTTGGAAATGGGTAGTAATAGTCTGATGTGTAGAGATTAATTCTTTTCCCAATTTTGCTATTCACGTTCTTTTTTTTCACAAAATCAACATTTTTTTTCTCCCATGACTGCACTCTAAAAATTGCTCAATCGTTAGCAACATGTCACAGTATGTGTGTAACACAATCTCCGTTTGCAGCTTCGATAAGATGTAAAGGAGGCGGTTCATTATGCAAATGTCTCAATGATGCAAATGCCTTTTAATGAGTATGAATGCGATCGCTGCCATTAGCCTTCATGGACACGCGGCGAGCTCTCCTCTCCTTCGGTCGTGGCGGGCGTGGAAAGGGCTTCGTTGAAAACGCTGCCACTCCATGCCACTGCAGTTCTCTCCGCTTCGCTCCACCCCGCTTCGGGCAATTCAAATCCGCTCTACTCCACTCCGCTCCACTCCTCCCGATTCCTCTTCTTTACAAGCGCTCTCTCCCTCTCCCTCTCCCTCTCCCCCTCTCTCTCTCCTCTCTCTCTCTCTGGTTGCTTCCACCGCTGCATACACTGCAAATTCAGCACTTCTTTACGTATCTGCTGACGCTACAACTCCAGCTTTCAGAAATCGTACTCATTTCCTCTCTCTCTTCCTCTCTCGTTCTTGTTCTCGTCCTCGTCTCCCTTTTCTATCACGTTGTTCCCGTTAATTTTTCCGTTCCTTTTCTTGTTGTCTTTGCCGCTCCTGTTCTTGTAATCGTTGGCTTTCCACCTCCCCGTTTTTTAATCGTATTTACCGCTTCCGTTCTTATTATCGTTTTCTTTCCCTCTCGTGTTCTTCCACTTGTATTTCTTGCTCCCGATCTTGCTTTCGTTCTCTTTTGCGCCACCATCCTTGTTCTCGTCCCCTTTCTCGCTTCCATTCATGTTTCTTTCCCTTTCCTGCTTCCTCTTTCTCTCTCGCTAATATTGCTCCTCGCACTCCTCACGGTCTATTTCAAGGACCCTCTCACTGTTTCAACCGCTACGCAATGGCGAAGTATTCCAGAACTGGGGCGATAGGCCGCAGACAGTTGCGGGAAGCAGGGCGGGACGGGTTGGTGGCTGCGAGAGAGAGGGTGCGGTGTGAGAGAGAGGGTGCGTGCGAGAGAGAGTGGTGGGCAGAGAGTGGAGAGAACAAGTGTTGCGTGCGAGAGAGGTGGGTGCGAAAGGGTGCGGAAGACGAGAGGTGCGTGCGGGGTGGGCGAGAGAGAAGGTAGCGTGCGAGAAGAGGGTGCGTGCGAGAGGTTCGTGCGAAGAGAGGGTGCGTGCGAGAGAGGGCGTTCGAGAGAGGGTGCGTGTGAGAGAGGTGCGGTGAGAAGAGGGTGCGTGTGGAATGCGTTGAGAGGTGCGTGTGAGAGACAGGGCTGCTTGAGAGAGGTGCGTGTGAGAGAGGGTGTGTGAGAGAGGGTGCGTGTGAGAGAGGGTGCGTTGAGAGAGGTTGGGTGTGAGAGAGGTGCGTGTGAGAAGGTGCGTGTGAAGAGGTGCGTGTGAGAGAGGGTGCGTGTGAGAGAGGTTGGGTGCGGTGAGAGGGTGCGTGTGAAGAGGTGCGTTGAGAGAGGGTGCGTGTGAGAGAGGTGCTGTGAGAGAGGTGCGTGTGGAGAGGGGCTGTCGTGTGAGAGAGGGGTGCGTGTGAGAAGGCAGGGTGCGTGTGACGAGAGGTGCGTGTGAGAGAGAGGGTGCGTGTGAGAGAGGCGGTGAGAGGTGTGAGAGAGGTGCGTGTGAGAGAGGGTGCGTGTCGAGGCGCTGTGGAGAGGGTGCGTGTGAGAGAGGGTGCGTGTGAACTGGTTGAAGAGGTGCGTGTAGAGAGGCGTGCTGCCCGGAGTCGAGTGGCGAGCAACCTATTGTCAGAATGCTTTGAAACAGTGAGAG